TTTTGACGATTGGACAATTTGGACAATTTTTGATGTGTAGTCAAATTCCAATCAATGCAAGACATGGAAGGTATTTAATTTATGCATAGAGGTAAAAATGTCCAATTTTGACATTCTTGCAACTCTTTAAAAAAAGTGACATTTTGGTACATACATGATGGCAAAATGCCATTTGGTGTAATTTCCTCTAAAAAAAATACAATTAGTCAATTATAGTTAATCATTTAATTGAACTTACTAATGTTTTTGAAGTAATGGAAATAAATGTAATATTTATTCATAGATTATTGTGAGTAAATTTTAGTATCAAAGCAAATGTGCACTTTGAGAAAAAGTTTATGAGAGTCCTTCTATAGAAATGCCATAATTTAAGAAATTCCTTAATTAAATTAACTCTTTTTCCATTAACGACCGTCAACTTCATATTGGTTTCTTAGAGTGTGTTTGGGACACATTCTTTTGAAAGAATGTATTATTGAATAGTAGATTGATGGAGAATGTATGGTTCAAAATGAAGGAAAAGTTATTGATGTGATGGAAAATATTATTTTATTGAAAAATATGTGATTGAAAATAATTAGAAGAATGAGAATGAAAAAAATAATGTGTACCAAACATAGCCTTATACTATTCGTCTCTCTCTCTGAAAAAAACACGTACATTCCATTTGCAATTTAGTGTAGATTTCCATATGCCGTCAGTTATAATGTACTTATCATCTTAGGCTCAACCTTTTCTATTTTATAATTTATTTTTTCAGATTTACGGACAAAAAAATATATTAAAAAAACTCCAGATTGACCATTCTCATCCCTTTTCATATTCAAGGAGCCTGACTTGACCAAATCTTAGAGTTTGTTTGTTTTCCATTTTTATAATAAGAATAAATTTTGGAATAGTAAATTAACGAGAAATGTGTGGTTAAAAAATAAAAAAAAAAATTTAGATTTACGTATAATATTATTTTATTGAAGAATGTGTGGTTGAAAATAAGAGGGAAAAATGTATTTTACGAAAAATTGGTATCAAACAAGCGCTAAACAATGGTGTTTAAAAACCCCCCACCCCACCCCTACAATCTCACCTAATTTTCGAAATTTATATTAAAAAAGTTAATTACATCATCGGATCTTATCTGTATGGATGCTATACATCAATTTGTATATAAGGACCACCTAATATCAATCAATAGCTAGCAACAATTGAAGTTGTGTGATTTCCTCTCTAAATTTATAGCTATCAAGTTGATAAAAAGAGAGAGAGGTCATGGAGTCGAATATGGTTGCCCTATTTGAAGCTTTAGAGCCTAAAACTTTGTTAATTTTCTTCGTCGTACCTCTTCTTTTCATGTTTCTTGTATCAAGATTTCGTCGGAAACCCTATCCACCAGGACCTAAGGGGTGGCCGGTGTTAGGAAACATGGGGATCATGGACCAACTAACTCACCGGGGCCTCGCAAGAATTGCAAAGAAATACGGCGGCATCTTCCATCTCCGCATCGGGTTTCTACACATGGTGGCAATATCGAGTCCCGATATCGCACGCCAAGTGTTACAAGTCCAAGACAACATATTTTCGAACCGTCCAGCCACTATTGCCATAAGTTACTTGACTTATGATAGGGCTGATATGGCATTTGCTCACTACGGACCCTTCTGGCGGCAGATGCGAAAGCTCTGCGTGATGAAACTCTTCAGCCGCAAACGGGCAGAGTCTTGGGACTCCGTCCGCGACGAGGTGGACTATATGATCGGCCAGGTTGCAACAAACTCCGGTTCTCCCGTGAACATCGGCGAGTTAGTCTTCGGCCTAACGAGAAACATTATCTACCGGGCTGCGTTCGGTTCGAGTTCGCACGAGGGACAGGATGATTTCATCAAGATTTTGCAAGAATTTTCCAAACTTTTTGGTGCTTTTAACATTGCAGATTTCGTTCCATGGCTTAGTTGGATGGATCCACAGGGCCTAAACAACAGATTGCAAAAAGCTCGTGCTTCACTTGATGGATTCATTGATTCAATTATCGATGAACATATGCAGAAAAAGAAGCCCAATGATGCGGTCGAAACTGATATGGTGGATGAGTTATTAGCTTTTTACAGTGATGAAGCAATTGTTACAGAATCAGAGGATTTGCAGAACTCTATCAAACTCACCAGAGATAACATCAAAGCCATCATCATGGTACGCAACTCTAATTGTTTACTGAGATAATTGTTTTTTTTTTCTGTATGGTGTTGGTGGGATAAATCCCAAACAAGTAATTATATTATGTTTTTGGAAAAATAAAATAAATTTCGTCTTTATTTCTTTTTGGGTCTTCTATTTAAATTGTATTATATTTTAGTTGCAAAAAGTCATTTCATATCAATTGCACACGAACATAAATAAATGGGTTTTTACCACATTTATTTCATACTTATCTGTTAATATCCATAGCAATTTGCTATAAGATTTTTTTCTTCTTTCTATAAAGTGACTTTCAATTTAATATAGTAAACACACGTCATGTAATTATATTTATTAATACACAGAAAAGGGTATCCTCAATTGAGATTTAGATAAAATTTACAAGATTATAAATTTTAATAAATTTCGTGAATTTGAATAAATTTCTATTAAAAGAATATCATATAATTATAGTCAAATTGTTGATGCCACTGAAAATATAACATAACGAATGAAATCATGTTAACAAAGAAAATATGATGTCTTTTCAGGATGTAATGTTTGGTGGCACTGAGACGGTGGCGTCGGCCATTGAGTGGGCCATGGCGGAGCTGATGAGAAGCCCAGAAGATCTAAAGAAAGTCCAACAAGAATTAGCCACCGTCGTCGGCCTAGACCGGAGAGTTGAAGAGTCGGACTTCGAGAAGCTCACCTACCTCCGGTGCTGTCTCAAGGAGGTGCTCCGTCTCCATCCGCCAATTCCCCTCCTCCTCCACGAGACGTCCGAAGCGGCAGTGGTGGCGGGGTATCAGATTCCGGCCAAGTCCCGTGTCATGATCAATGCATGGGCCATTGGACGTGACAAGAATGCATGGGAGGATCCGGATGAGTTCAAACCCGCTAGGTTTCTCAGAGACGGGGTGCCGGATTTTAAAGGAAGTAATTTTGAGTTCATTCCATTCGGGTCGGGTCGGAGGTCCTGCCCCGGTATGCAACTCGGGCTTTATGCATTGGAAGTGGCTGTGGCTAATCTTCTCCACTGTTTCACTTGGGAACTGCCTGATGGGATGAAACCGAGTGAACTCGACATGGATGATATTTTTGGACTCACTGCGCCACGAGCAACTCGGCTTAAGGCGGTGCCGAGTCCAAGATTGCTGTGTCAACTCTACTGAGTCAACGTTGACACACTGTGAAATGGAGTGTGACATATTTTCTATTTTGGACTTTTTCTTAATAATTTTTTTCCATATATATGCATGTATATTTTAGGAGAAAAAGAAAAAGAAATAATGATTTGACACGACGTGAACATTGAATTGTCGTGCAAGTTTGGTTTGTTATTGAAAATTGCTTTTTAGCATTTCTCCTTTTTAGTGTTTTGATCGTGAACTTATCTCATGATGATGAAGGTTGCCAAAGAAATAGAAAAGGAAAATTCTAGTGGTACATAATTTTCCTACATAATGGTACACATAATATCTACATGGGGTGGGACCCACTTCAAAAGTGGATCCCACATCATGTGAGTATTATATCTATGTTACTCTCTATGTACCCCAAGCAAAGCTCAATAGAAAATTAAGAGCATTTGACCAACTTACACTATCAATTTCAAATAAACTTTGTCCCAGGAACACACAATTAATCGAAGAGGAGTGTGTTAGTTTTACGATAGATGAGCAACCGAACTTTAGGAAGTTGTTGAGCGTCCGATGGGTCGTATGGTTTTCAATCCAACAGGTTAGTCAAACTAGGTTAAAACAAAGAATTAATCTTGTTTTACCAAATAATCATGTTGGAATGAAAATAATGCTACATGGATATAATGGGGTTACATCATAATTTATATACAAACGAGGTGTCAGAAGAGAGTTGAATTTTTTTTTTTAATTGATCGAATAAATTCTCATCCAATCAAATCACGTATATTTAAATCATTATATACATGCCACAAGTGACACATTTAGTGTGGGAGCAGCTGCCCCACAAGTGACGCATTTAGTGTCATCTCCTCAACATGCTGGAGTAAATCTAAAACTTTTATTCAGAATGTCAAACCCCTCATCAAATATACAAAAGAACGTCTCATACAAATTAAATATAAAGTTGTAAATATAGACATTTCTGCTCCACCTAAATGGACAGGAGAATTGTTCTTGCAATTTGCTAAAATAATATAAAAACCAATTTTTGGTTTGGAGAAAGATTACAAGTCACATATGCAGTCGTTGGGCAATGCAAATGTAATTAAAACGAACTACCAACAATTTTGAAATAGACAAATTGCATTAATTATGCATTGACATTATGCTTGGTGAAACGTTAACACCAATTAGTCTACATCTCCAGCCCCCGGTGGGAAGAAAAAAAATAAATCAATGCTAACATGACAAAAGAACATTAATTATATTATTATCCACTGGATGCAGGAGATTAATTTTGTAACGCCAATTATGGGTTAATTATGACGACGTTCATTCAAAAATTTGAGCAATTAGGTCAAGAACCTTCCTTGCTCTATAGAAACGAAAGAAAACGGGGAAGACACAATACATGTGGAGTCCATTTTTTTAAATAATATTTAAATCAGGTGGAACCCACATCATGTGAGTATTCTGTATAATCTCTAGCACAATTTTTCTGTACATTAGCATTGTTGTTAGGTCAATGATCACTTTACTTATTATTATTATTATTATTATTTTTTTTTATATAGTAATAGTAATTTAACTTTCCGGCGCTTGCTCTAATTCTCAATCAACTAAATACATTAATCCATGTGGCACCATTTAGGTGTCAACTTGTCACCAATCAACATTATTTATTATGCCAAGTCAACAAATTTAAGAGTTAACAATTCAGAATTGAGCATCTTCAGATAAGAAAACTTAATACAACTTTAATTTTTGCAAGATTTTTAGGCTTCGCTCATACGGTAAACTTGCACGTTGTGAACAACGAAATTTGCTAATTTGGAGTAATAAATAAGAATAATGATGTTTTGGTGCAAGACAGGATATTCCTTACGAGCATTCATTTCGTAGGTCGGTCGTGTGAATGGAATGTTTATTTTTCGAAGCAAAATTTCTACGGCAGCTTGACATAAACTGTACAGCATTGGACTTTTTAAAGATTGATAGATGCTTCTACCACCTTCTATTTTGAGTTTTCTACAAAAATGAAAAATCTAAGCAATATTTTCATTGTTCGAATTATTAATGTGAATATTTGGTTAATTAGTTGAGTTCAGGGCAGAATTTCTATTGAAGTGACTGATAAGTGTGCAAAAACACACT